AATCTCTACAACAGTCTTGATGAGATCATCCAGCCTCCCTTTGAATACTTTAAGGAACAGAGAGCTCACTAGTTACTGAAGTAGCACATTCTATTTTTGGATAGCCTTGGAAGTTTTTCCTTGTATCTTTTCCCCTCTTACCTCCTCATCTATCCCTTCCCTCCCTTCCACTACTCCATCCCCTTTACGTACACACATTTAATAATCTCAGTTTTACCTCCGGAGCCTAGGAGAGTAAGACTAACTCCTTGTCCACATGAAAGCCCTTCAAATCTTTAAAGACTGTATTACATATTGTCTCAAAATATACTTTACCTTCCCCCCCAAGGTTCTCTTTCTCCAGCTGAACATTCCTAGTTTCTTCAACTGATCATCTTATGACATGTTTTTCTAGCTGTCTTACTCTCCTAGTAACTGTCCTGGACGTGCCTCATCATGTCAGTATCACTTCTGAAATGCCCATGATTTTCAAGATATGGTCTGCCCAGGGGCAGAGTATGATGGGAGAATCACCTTCCTTGTTATGGACACTATGTTTCTGTTAATAAAGTGTATTTTTTCTTCTAATATAGGTCCTGAACTAATGGCCTTTTCTGCTCTCCTTTGTGGCATAGAGGTTATCCTTAGTTCTCAGAGGCTATGCTGGTAGGGCACAAAATCTGTAAATTCTGTCAATCTGAAAAGTTTTCCAGTATGGGCCCGATAATGTTCTCTCAGGATCAGCCTAGCTCAGTTCAGAGAGGGCTATCAATAGAAGTTTGGCCACTAGATGATAAGTTTTCCATGGTAAGTCACAAAACTAATTACTAAGACTACTGATGCTGACAAAAGAAAAGGGGGACTATATGTCTCCACTTTCTTGCTTGTTTAAATTGACATTGACCTATCATAAGTTATCACTATTTTGGGTCTAGTCATTAAGCCAGTTCTAAAAGTCTGTCTAACTCAGGCAGAGCCATGATGGCAGAGTAGCAAAAAGTATATAATGAGCTCCTTCCTCATCTTCCCACCCCTATACAACCAGATCTAGGAGATACACAGACTGAATCCTGATAGGGAAATCTAAGAAAAAAAAATCGGAATGAGTCATTTTCCCAGGCCAGGTCAGTATAGGGATACAGAGGGTCTACAGATACTGGGGATGGGGCCTGACCAGGAGTGTGCCAAATAGAGCAGCATTCCAATGCAGAGGGAGGCTGTGTATCAGGGCAAAAAGAGGTTCTAGATCCATCATGGAAGGCCTAGGGTATAGGAATGGGAAGAAGAATCCGTTGGTTACCCAAATGAAAACTTCCAGGAAATAAATTATAGCCAGCATCCGGAGTTTCCAGGTCAAAGAAAAACTATTGCTGCCAGCTTAGAATAAGAGGGCTTAGAACATGGCGTTCCAGGGGATTAAAGGATATAGGCTTACAACCAAGAATAACTTATCCAGCAAAATGGAGTGTAATGCTGCAGGGGGGAAAACACATCTTTAATGAAATAGAGGATTCCAGGCATTCCTGATGAAAGTACCAAAGCTGTTTAGAAACTTTGAAGTGCAAACACAGGAGTCAAGAGAAACGTTAAAAAATAAAAATGGACAGTCATAAAGGATTAAACAAAGATCAACATTTCTTACATCCTAATGTGGGAAGATGGTATATGTGTCACCTTGGAACCTTATCATCATCAAGGGGTCATAGAGGGAGTCCTATGCAGACAGAAGACCTAGGAGGGTTCTCTTATGTCTTGATGATATTAAAAGAAGAATGGAAAGGGAGGGAAAGAGGAATACACTTTGGGTGGGAATGAGAGGAAAGGGAAAATCATCCCCCATAATCAGGGTAGAAATCTACAAAATAAAGAGATAGGCTGAAGGGTAGAAGTGTGACTGACACTTAAACTTTACTCTTTTCTGAACTGGTCAAAGGAGGAAAGAATAACACATGTACATATACACAGTTGGGTATAAAAATAGATTTCATTCAACAGGGAAATAGGAAGGAAAGGGGAGAAGGGGGAAATTGGAGGGCATGTTAAAGGAGAGGCTAATCTTAAGCAAAATAAACTCTAAAGGATGTACAGAAATATAATTTTTTACAATGAATTAAACAAAGAATTTAAAACTGAGGGGGCAGTGCTATGAATTGATGAATAGCAACAAATTATGGCATAGGAATGCGATGGAATATTATTGTGCTATAAAAAGTGATGAAGGGAGTGGACTCAGAGAAACCTGGGAAAACTTGTATAAACTGATGCAAAAATAGGCAGAACCAGGAAAACAATTTATACAGTGACAGTAATATAGTAAAGACAGACCTTTTTGAAAGACTTGGGAATTCTGATTAGCATAATGACTACTTATAATTCCAGAGGACTCAATAGTGAAACACGCCATCTACCTCTTTGGAGAGAGATGAAAGACTCAGTGTAAAATGAGACTTTTTGCTTAACTATACATGTTAGTAACAAGGATTTTATTTTTCTTTCTTTCTTATTGGGGGTGGGGTATAGGAGCAGGAGGGAAATGAAAGTGGATTTTTGCTGATTGGAAAAAAATTACCCCTTCATCATATCTATAAGGATATCTTAGGAGACTTTGTGTCAGGTATCTTGCTGAAATCTCAGTATGCAATATTTATAATGTTCCTCAAATCTACCAATCCAGTATGAGGTTAATTTGGCATAACTCATTTCTAGTGAACTCACATGTACTTGTAGCAATGACCATTTTCCTTTCCAAGTGCTCCCAAACCATGTCTTTAATAATGTGCTCTGACTCCTTAGCCAGGAATCAAAGCCAGGCTCATCAGCCTTTATTTTGAAGAGTCTACGTTCATCTTTCTTTTTGGTAAACTGGAATATTTGCTTCCACTTCCTCACCCTTCACTCACTCTTCGGCCTTTTGCAGTCTCTAAGCAGAGCCTCACAGAGAGATACATCCAGCCCCATTCTTTTCCCTGAGGTCCATCCCACATCACCAATTGCCTATTCTAGTTCAAAACGGATGTGTCATAGACACCTCAGACTCAAGAGGTCCAAAAGAGAACACGTTATCTTTCCCAGTCACGTCACTGCCCTACTGCAACTCCAGTGGTTCCCCATTACTTCCAGAATCAAATATAAAATCCTCCGTTTGGCCTTTAAAGCCCCTCAAAACGTGGGCCCAACCTATTGTTCCAGCTTCATTGTACAAAATTATTCCCCTTCTAGCTCGATATGGTTCAGCCAAACTGGCCTTGTCTCTGCTCCTCACATATATCACTCCGCCTCCCATCTTGGTGCCTCTACACTCACCAACCACACAATGCCTGGAATGCTCTCTCTCTCTCCTCCACCTCAAAGAATCCCTAATTTCCTTTAGGTGACAGCTCTATCCAGCACCCTCAGTAACTACCTCACATTTATTTTGTATTTATTCTGTAAACTTTTACTCAATTTATACTCATATACATATATGTTGTTCCTCCTCCCCTCCACCTCCTAGAATGTAAACCATTTGATAGTATGGCCTATTTCATTTTCGTCTCTGTAGTCCAGTGTCTGGTACACAGTAGGTGATTAATCAATTTTTGATTAACTGATTAATCATCTTTAAGGAGAGGATGACAATTACTTCCTACCTCCTCTAAGAAAGAACTACAACAAGAAGCTTTTAGGTTAGATAAAGACATGCTCTCCTCCTAATGGTGAGTTGTTAGATACTGGTATCAATTCTTGAGAATGGTTATTAAATCTCCTCTGGAGCTGTTTAAAAAGATAATGGATTCACATTTGTCAATGGGTAGCTGTTCCCTTAAGGCAGGGAAAATGGACTGGTTAGCTGCTCAAAGTCCTTCCAAAACACTATGATTATACCTTTCCTCAAAGGACCTTCTGAATTATGTGTGGCTTCTTCTGAGCTTAGGTCTGTTTAAATCTACGATGAAAAACACATTTTCTGGAAATATTTGATTTGAAAAGCCCAACCATTCCAAATCTTGCCCCTGGTCCTTCTTTCAGTTGCAATCCCTTTAAGTGATGGCTTGAAGAACCAAGGGATTTCCTAGTGACTAAAATCTCTACCTTCTCTTAAAACACTGAGTAAAGGAGGATTTTCAAAATTTCCTGTCACACATGCACACACAAGCATAATGTTATGAATGTCATGACCTTTTAACCGAAAACATTCTGTTACATATTGTGTAAGTACACAGAACCAAGAAAGCTAAGGAAACTAAATCAATAATCAGAAGATCATAGACTTTGAACGGGGTTTCTTAACCATCTTTGTGTCCTGGAACCCTTTGGCAACAGTTTGGTGAAACCTATGGGCCCCTTTTCAGAATGGTATTTTTAAATGCATAAAATAAAACACACAGAATTACAAAAGAAACCAATTACACTAAAATATAGTTATCAACATACGAAAACAAAAACAAAAAAACAAGTGCATGGGCTCCAGGTTAATTATGACTGATTTAGAGCCTAAGTCAGAGGCCATCATATCCAAACTCTTCATTTTACAAATGAGGAAACCAGGGCACTAAGGGTTAAATGGATTGCCCAGAGTCATTTAGCAAATACGTACCTTAAGTGCAGTTTGAAACCAGATCTTCCAAGCTCCAAGTCCCATCCCCCCTCCACTAAGCACTGAACATACAACTCTCAAGAAGATGATGGAATAAATGCATTATAATATGCTATTAACTGCATTACAACAAAACAAAACTCCAAAGACAATCTTTTTCTATTGCCTTTCTCTGAAGGACTTCGCACATATTTCTTCTATCCATACAATGTGATAAGAAAGTATCAGGAATTGTTATCACGACTTCAGACCCAGAGAAATCAAGTCACATAAGGTGGAACATGCAGAAGTTCATATAGAAAGTCAGTGGCAAGAAAACCCCAAAACCTTAGCTACTTTTCCCTCATCATCAATGTAAAGAGTTATCAGGACAAGCGTAACAAACACAGTACAGCAAAAACACACAGACAAACCACAATGTTTCAAGATACAAGTTACAACTCACCGGAGTTTCCTTCCTTTGCTGGCTTTTCTATCTACTTTTTTGTGAATTTTACTTCGTAACTTCTGGATGGCCAACCACTGCCTAGAACACCCACAGAAAAGGTTAGGTATCATCACAAGCAGAAATTATTACATACAGAATAACAAAGGGGAGCCATTCTCACTAATAATCCCGCAGAAAGAAACTATCAATCCATCAACTTGTTCTTCAAGACAGGTGGTAACCAAAGTGACTAACTGAAAAGCATTTTGGCAACTATAAAAAAACAAAAGGCAAGCTATGAACTTGTATGGCAAATTTGGTTAACAAGGATCCTTACTCTATGCAGCAGTTGTGACAGGTGCTAAATTTGCCAGAGTTCAGAAAAAGTCAATTTAACAGAGACGCTGTGTCTTCTTGAAATGTTTTAAATGGGTAAGTTTTTTTCTTAAATTACTGTTGCTACTTCTGATTTAAATGCAGATATACTCTAAATGTAAATTTTACTCTGCTCATACCCAGGTGTTTTTATGTCCAATTTTAAATATCACATTGACTGCTTTTAAATCTGCCTACCTAAAAAAGGAGACAAAGTTGAGAAAACAATAAATTTGTTTCTGTGGTCATTTTCAATTGGAAGTGGCATTAAGGAGTTAATTTCAAGTAAAGAGTGGTTAGCCGAGAAAGTTTTCATAAATTGCTGGTGGGAACAAATGTTTAAAAAAAGAAAGAAAAAATAAGCTAGTCATTTTACCTGATTTACACAATGAAAACTCGACATCTGAAAAAAATCTAGCAAAATCCAATTACTGCAATCTTAATATAATCTTAATTACCATAATCTATTTTATTGTAAAGTCAGATAAATGTATAATATAATCACTATTTAAATGCAATTTTGCTCTATCATGTTAAATTTATAGTGAATAGTTCTCCATAATATTCCAGACATACACAAAATACCATGACACATTAACCTAAAATTCAAGTAATATTTTACTTGAATAAAATTATTTCATCAACACAAATTTTGCAACGCATTCTTTGGCTTTCCTCAAATGCTGTTCTGCCCAGAATCCCATTCTGGCTTTTCCAGCTTTTGTTTCCTTTTATGCTTTTTCAAATCATGGCTCATGGCTATTTGAATGTATACTATTCATTAGACAGCACTCTAAATGCCCTTTTCATTTTCTAACCGCAGGATGAGGCACCCCCCCCTTTACATGAGGCACGCGCGCGCACACACACACACACACACAGACAACTTTACATGAGGTACGTGCGCGTGTGCGCGCACACACACAACTTTACATTCTAGCCTGACATCTGGGCAATGTTGCTGGGTTCCAATTTTTAATTGTGCTGGATCTTTCAAGGGAGGGTTGGAGGTCTCACACTGGGGTAGTCTTAACAAAGCAGATTTGACTATGAGTAAGGGACCTGTTGTGACACAAGGCCAAATTCTGACAGCAGGCAGCACTTAATCAGAGTGGCTGCTCTTTACCCTTTGGTAAGTAAGCAGGTAAAAAGGGTCACAGCTGAAATCAAAAGAGGACTTAAAAACCAACAACAAAAACAGAATACATATGTACACTTTATACTCTCTTTACAAATTCCCAAAGGAACAGCACAGGCCCAGGTTGCATATGACAATTTCTGATGTTTTATCTCAATGGTTTCTATTAGAGTACTCGAGCTTTATAATTTAGATCAATCATTGTCTTTGAGTGATATGTTTAGAGCTAAGGAGGCTCAAAGGAAAAAAAAGTTATATGAGCTTCTACGGATGAAGAGGAAGGTATATATATATCTAACTTTTTACCTGCCCATAGCCACCTGATCATTAGGATCCAAGGAACTGGTCTTCCGTTCTATGAGTTCTCGGAGGAGCTAGAAGAGAAAAGAAAGTAACTGATTTATTCATCATCTCCAAGCACTGACTTTAAAAGGGCACAGTAGGAATTCTGAATGGCACAGTGACAGCTCTAAAACTACAATCAATAAGACGCAACCCAGTGGCAAGAGCATGACTGAATTCATGTTAACCCCTTCATATTTATATATCTTTTAAAAAGGTGGCTAGGGTTATAGCAGAGAACAGAAGTCCATTAGGAAGACTTATTGTCCTGCAGTTCATTTCAAATGGATCAATATGTGGGAGCAACGTTCCCTTCATCGTTTTATGATTAGTTTTGTCCACTCCATCGATATCAATGGAGAATCTTTAAAAGGTCAGAGAGGAAGGGCTCCGTGGCAAAAAGGAATTAGCATCAGCCTACCCCCAACAGGAGGACAATGGCAGATGATGGTTAACTTATAGTCCTATAATCTCCTACAAGAAAGTAGATCTTCCTTAGGCAAAATTCATTGTTATATATAATTAAAAGTATAGACCTCATCTTCACTCTCCCCATGGCTAAACTTACTTTACTATAAAGTGATGAGCCTATATATAAGATGCTAGCACATTCAGAGACAGATTTCTAAGAGAAAATCAAAGGATAATAAGTCACCCATCAGAAGATACAATATGTAGGCCCAGACTCTCACTCTATACAAATGACTCCATGGGAACCCTAAATTACTCTCCTGCTTTCCTTTTAATTGCTGTAACACGTTTGTTACAAGTGCCCATCAGCAGTAACAGAGATCTTGGAATTCACAGTAGGCCTTCAAGTCTTAAGTGAATGTGAAGCAATGTATTGAAAGGCAATAAGAAACAGAATGGAATTCTTTTAAAAGGTCATAATGATAATCCTGGAAGTAAGCCCTCCTGACTCACCACTAAAACCAGGATTCTGCACTAGAGGTTGAAAAATTTTTTTAAATCTTCCAAGTGAAAAGCCTCTGAGAAGATATTAAAATATACATGATTGTCCTAACCAGACACCAATAACACAGGTTTGATTTCAAAGCCTGTTTTGTTTTTGTTTTTTTAACCCATATAAGTAATTATCTTGGAAGGCTGGCACATGTAACTATGTAGATATTTTACCAAATTAAATAGCTAAACCCATTAGGAGGGTAGAAGAGGGGGAATAAATTCCTAAGAAAATAGTTTCCTTTTTAATTTTCATTTGTTTACTTAAGTAGGCATTCTAAGAAATAAAACACATTTTAAAAAAATACCCACCTCCTTAAGATGCATTTTTATTGCAACAGGGGAAAAGGGTATCTCAATCGCAATTAAAAAACCTCCCAGGATGTTTTTTCATTTGCTTATTTTGGAGATTATTACCACAGCAATTACATTTAAAAATGCAGGGACCAGAGGCCACTGGTTTATTATCACTAGAAAACAGCAAGCTATTTCTCTGCCCTGTTTATCTGATTGATTCCCAACATCTTTCTGGCAGCCAATCTATCAGTTTATCTCTTCTACTTCATCACAGTCACTTCTGGCAGCTAAATACAAGATCCAAATCCAGTGTTACACGGACATACGACACAGTAAACCTATGTAACACTGCGACTCTGTAAACAGTTGCCCTTAAGGCTAAGCAAAAATGGGCTTCTGGTTTCTAGTCAATATTCTGTCAAAAGCCAGGTAGGAGGGAGACTTAAAAAAAAAAAGAATGAAAAAGCTGACTTTCATTGCCCTTACCTTATGTGGTTCTTTCTCCACAAGGATCACAACTGTTCTAGGTTTCCTAATCTCTCTGGTCCCTTGGCACAAGGGCAGTAACACTCATAAGGCAGAAAATGCATATAGCAGCCTCAACTGGTACAATAGGAATGCCTTCTTCAGAAGGAAGCTCCTGTCTCTACCTTCTTCAGAGTCTAAACATTGGAGCTGCACAACTTCAACGGATCTATTAGGTTTGCTGCGGTTTCTACAATCCAAACACTAAGTTGGGGTAGCATTTACTTTCGAGCACACTGTGTATATTATATATTCTGGTCTGCATTTTAAAATATGGCCTGTTACCTTAGTAGCCAAGTGACTTACGCTGCTATTTCTATTTAGTCATTCATTATTGGGAACTTTATTTTATTAGACTTTCTGGTTATGTCTAGCTTACTCATTCCAATGTTTCAGGGAACTCTGCAATGTCCAGGATAGGAACGAGAAAGCAAGGAAAAATTATAAACAAGCAAGTTGTTTACACACTTATTACTTATATCAAATTTGGAAGAAAATGGTCTTTTTGATAGTTACTGAGAATAAAGCTTCTAGGATGTAGGGCACAAAATTTACTTTTGCACTGAGTTCTGCTTTAAAAGCATAATCTTGTTTTTAAAGTAGGAATAAAAGTTTTCTACTAAGATTAAAGTTCACATCTCCATTAAAGTTATTGGATTTTTCCAAAAGTTAAACAGTTTCCCTGACTACACAAAATTTATAGTGCATCTTCTCAGATGACGGTGAAATCCATGAAACGTCCTTGTATGTTATTATATTCAGTTATCACTTACACAAGCAGTCCACAACTTACAAATGTGGTCTAAAAACTGAAAAGCATCTAAGTCATTTAAGCACTCAAAACACAGTTTCTCATGGAAGCATCAGGATGAATGTACTTTAATGTCCTTGTCAGTCCACAAACTACCTAGCCTATAATATGGACTGCAAGCTCCTTGAGAACTGTCATCCTGTTTGTCTTTCTTTTCACAGCACCTAGAACAATGCCTAGGCACAGAGTAGATACTTAATAAGTGCTTTTTGAACTGAATACTGTACACAGCTAATCATCATTAATAACATTATTTCTAAGAGAAAACAAATTCTAATTTCCAACTAATCAGATACCAAAAGGTAACTCCATCTTGAGCAGAATTAGAGTCAGGGGCACCATGAGAAGTACAGGAGATGAGAAAGGCAGGGATCTGGGCATTCATTAATCTTTTGTATTTTTATAAAAGATGGTACCACTGAAAGTCACTCCCCCATGGCATTCCACACACCCCCATAAATTATTAAGAGATAGTAAAACAGCATGGTGTAGTGGAAAGAGCTTTGAAATCAGAAGACCTAGCCTTTAACCTTAGCTCTGCTACTCATAAACACATGACTGTGGGTAAGTCACTTGAAGTATCTGGGCCTCAGTTTCCTCAACTGTAAAATGAAGGAACTGGACTAAATGACTTTGAAGTTCCAAATTTTATGATCCTATAAGTCAAGATTGTCTATTACTTTTTTTTGACTAACTATAACCAGGGGTGACTTTAATATTCCTTAATCTTAATATCCACAATGCACCAATTCCCACTGGTAGAAATGCTGTTTTCTACTGAACAAACATTATGGAAAATCTTTATAAGCTGGAACATAGATACAGTATGACTTGGAGTTACAGTTTCAATTTACACTGACTTCTGTAGGCAGGTAGACATGGCAAAGTGCTGCCTGGGCAACATCATTTTATACAGTGTTATTAATGTGGTATATATTGCCAAATCTCACTTAACGGCCCAGAAACCCACTGTAAGGTTCAGGCCAGTACCCATTAACAACATTGTTCCTATGGAAACAATTTGTAATGCTTTCTGTCCAACATCAAATTTTCAAAGAACAATTTAATGATATTACTTGGGTATACCTTTCCATGCTTTATATGGCAATACCAATGTTTCAATTTACACAATACTTGACATTTACAGAATACACTAGATATCTACCTAAGTGGGCACTGAAATAATGTTTATTGGTACCAAGATTATTTCCAGTGAAAAACCAATGTTTGCTACCATCAGGAGCACCCTCCACCTCCCTTTTTGGGCTCTTCTTCATATTTTCTGGCATGCTATCTAACTCACCCTCTAGTCAACAAGTGCCCCAGTGTGATCCTCTGGCTGTCCCAACTCCTTAATCTAGGACTCCAGCCCACATCTGGTGTCCCCCATCTCACAAAAAAAAAAAGAGCCCTAACCTCCAAAAATTTCTTCTTCTTTATTATTACTCTCCTACCTCCCAATCAAAATTCCCCCATTCACACAGCTTAGCTCGATGTTAGCAATCAAATTAAAGTAATCAAACTAAGGTGCAAATGGAGTTTAGATGTTTTTACAGTGGAATAAGCATTGGAATAGAGAACTGAGTTTAAATTTTGGTTCTGCTACTTACCAGATGGGGGAGCAAGTATAAATCACTTAACCTTTCTGAGACTCAATTTCCTTTTCAGCAGAATGGAGTTGATAATACTTTACCTACCCCACAGAGACATCGTGGCTCAAAACTCTTTGTAAATATCAAAGTACTAAATATGAGTGTGCGGTCATTATTATTATTAGGCTCTCCCAGGAAGCAGCTGTATTTTTAAAAAGGAACTCAACCCAAAAGAATTTAGAACATATGACAACCTACCATTCATCATACATTCTTTTTTTTTCTCTTTGTTTTTTTTTTGTTGTTGTTTTTGCATGAGGCAATCAGGGTTAAGTGACTTGCCCAAGGTCACACAGCTAGTAAGTGTTAAGTGTCTGAGGCTGGATTTGAACTCAGGTTCTTCTGACTCCAAGGCCAGAGCTCTATTCACTGCGCCACCTAGCTGCTCCATTCATCATACATTCTAAGAGAAATCTGTGAAGTTTTGCCCTTCCTCTCCTTTCCTATCTGGCTTTTAAAGGTGAGGAAGGATCTCCTTTTCTGTCCCTCTTTTCACCTTGTAGCATTCTTTAATTTGTGAGCACTGTTTCAAGAGAGCTATTTTCCCCATTACAATACTATATATTTAAATATCTTTTTCTATGAAATGAGGTTATCAAATCTTGGACACAAGTCTCCATTTTCCAACATTTCATAGACTTAATGCCTTCATAAGGTTATAGATTTTGAGCTATAAATTCCAACCCCTTTACTGTAAAGATGAGGGAAGTAAGAACCAGAGACACTAAGTTCTTCGCCCAATGATTCATAAAGTGAATCGAGGCTAATCCAGAATTTGGACTCA